AGATTCAGTTTTGAGATTTCATTTAAAGGAAATTAAATTCATTTTATTCAGATAAATAGATTGTTAGTAGATTTTATTTATTTATTTTAGTTATACATAAAAAATAATAATCTCTCATACTTTATTTTATCTCATTTATACATTATATGATTTAAATTTAAAATTTTTTATTTTTAATAAAAAAAATTTATTATTAAATTATTTAAATAGAAGGCCTTTAGTTTAGAGGAAATACAAACCAAATCGTACTATTAAACAAGAACACAACCAAACGACTTTGAGGCCTTCTAGAAACCTCAGAATCCAGATAGACCTGAGAATACACATAACCACCAGCTACTCAACGGCAGCTTATCTTCACTGGAAACCCAACCAAATGGATACCTATTTCCAATCTCCTGAGAATCCAGAAACTCCAGAAGAGCCGAACCAGAATCCACTCGCTATTGTCCCTTCTCAACATCCAGTTGCAACTGCCTCCTTCGCCTTCTTTACCATTTCATCTACCCAGTTACTCCCCCATCCTAAAGGCTCCGCCTTGTTTTCCTCCCATGCACCAAGCAAGGTGAAGGTTCCTACTCAAGCCTACACTCTTGCCCACCTCTCCCTCTCCTCCGTTTCTCCCTCACGTACCAAACTCTCCTTCAAGTCCACAATTGCCAACAATCCTCTTCAATCTCCACTGACTCTTCGACCGCGCCGCACTCTTGACCCCTCCAATGGAGCTGCAATTCGCCGTGCTGCCATCGTCTGGTTCCGCAATGATTTGAGGGTGCACGACAATGAGTGCCTTAACACTGCCAACAATGAGTCCATGTCTGTTTTGCCTGTTTACTGCTTCGACCCTCGAGATTACGGGAAATCCTCTTCTGGGTTCGACAAAACCGGACCCTACAGGGCTACATTCTTGATTCAATCCGTCTCTGATCTCCGCAAGAATCTGCAAGCCAGAGGGTCTGATCTTGTTGTCAGAGTCGGGAAGCCAGAGACTGTTTTGGCCGAATTAGCGAAAGCAATTGGGGCAGATGCTATCTATGCGCATAGAGAGGTGTCTCATGATGAGGTTAAGGCCGAGGAGAAGATAGAGGCCGCTATGAAGGAGGAGGGAGTGGAAGTGAAGTACTTTTGGGGAAGTACCCTGTACCATCTTGATGATTTGCCGTTTAAGTTGGAGGATATGCCTACCAACTATGGTGGGTTTAGGGAGAAAGTGAAGGGTTTGGATATAAGGAAGACAATTGAGGCACTGGACCAGTTGAAGGGGATACCTTCTCGCGGAGATGTGGAGCCTGGCGACATTCCTTCATTGACGGATTTGGGGCTTAATCCCAGCGCAACAATGGCTCAGGTTTGGGTCTAGATTTTCCACCCCTGCTCTTTTATTTTCTGTGACAGTCATGTTATCTCCCATTGGCTTGTGTTTGAGATTGTTATATTTCATTGAGTTTGCTTATTGTCATTGAATTTAACTGTTCTAGTTGCTAACTGTATCCTTAACACGGGGAAGAAGTGGTAAATAGTTTGCTTGCAATCAAAAGGACAGAAATTCTTATAGAAAACAAAAACCAGAATGACTTTTGAATCAGATACATAATGCATGCCGCCAACCCGTGTCAAGTTCTAGTCCTGTTTTGATAAATAGCTGAGAAAATGCAAAGGTTTCCTTCAGCTAGTGCATATTACTTTCTTACAGAGGAACACATACATGAAACACATTTGCATATTATTCAACTCATAATGTTAAGGTTTCTGTATCATTTGTTTCCTACATAAACATTCATATTTTGCTCATACGAGGCAGAAATATTAAATCTCGTTTATCTGGACTATGTTCCACTTCGATTGTGGAATTCTGAATGCTGTATTAGGGTACTTGTTATTCTGGTAGCTAGAATATGGTTCAGCTAACTTTCAATAATGAGAAAATTTCTGTTGACCTTGATGGTTACCTATATAATTGTATATTATTCATGTGGACCGAATAGTTCAGCAATTCATAAATTAAAAGCTCTTGTTTTTCTAGTGATGGTTAATTGGTAACTTTGAACTTTCTTTTGACTATTTTGGATGCATTGACAATATTTTGTTTGTTGTTTTGTAGGATGGCAAACCAGGTGTTAGTGCTTCTATGGTTGGTGGGGAGACAGAAGGACTGGAGAGGCTTAAGAAATTTGCAGCTGAATGCCAAGCACAGCCACCTAAGGGAAACAAGGATGGTACACATGATAGCACAAACGTTGCTAATTTTTCTTGCAAAATTTCTCCATGGCTATCCATGGGATGCCTTTCTCCCCGTTCCATGTTTGATGAGCTAAAGAAAATTGCTACTAGGTATGCTGAAAAGTAGCATTTTTTTTAAAAAAAATCTTTGTTCCCTTGTATATAGTGCCCAAGTTTCACATCAATTAGTACTTATTTGAATAATATTGTATGGTTGATAGAACTATTTCCGGTGGCAAAAATGACAGTGGTAGTGGTTCACCCAATAATTGGTTGTTGTTTGAGTTATTGTGGAGGGATTTCTTCAGGTACATCTTTGCTCAATTCATCTTATAAGTAGAGGCTTGTGATTTTTATGTTCACTCAAAACTGGCTTACTTATCTCTCTCACTGAAATTTGTTTCTGCAGATTCATCACCAAGAAATACAGTTCTGCAAAGGTTGGAACTGCTCCTGCCACAGCTTGTACCGGTGCTGTTGCTTAAGCAAGAATCTGTGTCATTACTGGAGTAATTCTGTTTTGGGGTGTTGGTTGCTTTTGTTGCGCAATGAATTTTTATGATGTAGCCATTGGATATTTAAGTTGGATTTCTTGATCCTTCTGGAGCCCTTTGCTCTTATTGCCATGAAATAATTGAATAGTTTGATACAAATTTGGGTATTTATATTCTAATTAATACCAAGAAAACATCTTCTTAGGATTATACATTCATCTCCTTGTTGAATGAGTTAATGCATGTGACTTGTAAGTAATGGATTAATGCCTTTGGGTTTAAAGCTTCAAGCCACCTTTTGGCATTTACTGTTTCTGCTGACCTGAGAGTTTGAGATGGTGAGAAGTGACCGGGTTGTGTTTGAAGGAATGGTGCACCTTAATTGCTACAAGATGTGAAATAAATCCAAGTAACCATTTACTGTCATTGGCATAGATTTTAAGCTAGTTTTGAGACTTTTTCTTTGTTAATTGGATTATTTGCCTTCTATCATGGAGCCTGCAAATACCTTTTATTAATAAAATTTTTTCTTCATTTGATCTTAATCACCATCTCTATTTTATAGTAATATGGATTATTAGCTTCTTCTTCTTGTTTTCTTTTTCTTTACTCTATTTTAGTTATGAGTATCATATTATGCGATCTGAATTGTAAAAAGCTTTTAATTTTAGTTATCGAATCAAATCCTAATCAGAAAAAAATTTAATTTAAATAACTTTTATTTCAAATAAATGATACTAGAATATAATAAAGTAAGACTATGTACAAGGATAAAGGCAAGACAATGAGGTAAGAAGTGAACATAAAATATGACAAATGAAAATGTTTTAGAAGTATGTGTTTTATGTTTCTGTTTTTCTCGATCTTTTCCATACAAAGCAAGCGTATATATAGAGATAAAAAGAGAATGAATTTAATTCAAAATTCATGAACTAAGTGGAATACTGATTAAAGTTTATTAGTAATTTTATAAATGTGAAAGTTTCATGAATATAGTAGTTCAACAAATAAAATTTAGAGGGTGGAAAGAGAAATGTGAAATATTCATTCATTTAGTTCACGGCGCAAACAGAATTGTGGGATTGTTTGAGGTGGTCAAACTTTTTAAGGGTATTATCGGTCTTTTCCCTCATTAAAATTTTATGTTTTGCTTGTCTTGTTTCTACGTCAATGACTTGCTCAGTTAAAAGTTAAAACTCCATTGCTCATTAAAAAGCTGGTTTGTGTGTTTTTAGTGGACGCGTACATAGGTTTTTTATTCCAGCAGTTGTATATAATTTCTGGGTTTCACCTCAGTTAGTATACTATTACTAGTTTTGAATACTATTGTTTGGTTGACAGAAGTATTTCTGGTAACAATAATGACATCGGTAATGGCTGGTCCGATGACTGGTTTATGTATGAGTTGTTGTGGAGAGATTTCTTCAGGTAAGTAGAGATTTCTTACTGACATTTCTTTCTGCCGATTCCTCACCAAGAAATACAGCAGAAAACGGCTTTCCAGCCCCTAGAAAATTTCCCCCTTAACTTTCTTTCTCTTGAACCACTATCAGATTGTGGAATATCAACTCATTTTAGCAATTCAAGTAATACAAATTATAGTAGGATTTCCTGATCCTTGTTGAACTCTTTGTTCTTATTTCTATGAAAGAATTGAAATGTTTGCCACAAATCTGAGTACTTAATTATATTCTAACGAATACCAAGAAAACATCTTCGGATATCATTCATAGTACGTGTGTATATGAGGAGTAACAAAATATGTGTATGATTGGTCGGAAAAATATGATGACGATGTTATCTGTATATGATGCCTGAAACTTTGAGGGAAGAGAGCACAACGAAGATAATCCATAGGAGCATGAAGTATACAGAGGTAGTCCAAGCCCAAATCCTGGGGCCTCCAAGCTCTGCACCTAGTGTTAGACGTCGAAACACGAGAACGGCAATACAACCTGCAGAGGTACAGAAGAACACAAGCAGAGAGAAGCTGAGTCCCTCTGCATTTTGTATATGTAGTGGTTCTTTATATACAATGAAGTTGTATGCAGTATCAATCAGCCATGGAATCCCGATGCCCATATAAATGTTTACTGAATTGCTGCAAAAGGATGAAGAAAAAAGCAAGTTCAATTATCATTTCAAAAAGAAACCTCCTCACAGAAACTCAGTCACCCAGGCTCCTCCATTATGTCCGTACCAAAATTTTGAAACGTTTTATACATGCATTTTTTCCTATCACAGACAAGGTATGGTCAACAATCTAATTAGAAACTGATTGTGAACTTAAGAACTTCTATCTACATAGAAGCTAGTTGACACCTCCACAGGAAATTGAAACAGCTAGGATATGGTTGGAATCTCTTCAAGAAACTTCTTCACGGAAAACTCAATCACTCAATCCTCTAGATCGTGGCCCTAGTCTAAATGAAGCAAAGCTCTCCCCAAAAGTAAGATTTGACATCTGATAGTACACACCTGCAAGTGATGTTGGCAATAGCAGAGTCTGCTGTTAACTGACGTTCAGCTGCAATTTTACTCGCTACTAAATCTGGCCATGAAGTGCCACTTGCTAGTGCTGTAAATGCTATGACATAAGCATTTATTCCTACACAAATATAGGATATAAAAAGGCTGAGAATTTTACAGGCTAGAACATAGGAAAAGCATATTCATGAAAAACAGAGAAGATAACAGAAATTCAATGATTTTCAGCAAAGGAGAAAAACCTGTCACACAGCTTATAAGATCTGTCAACTTTGACACAATGTAAGCTATTCCAGTGATGAAAATCAGTGAGCCAATGAAAGCAATCCAACCATAAGCAATTTGATAAGGAGGCACAAAGGCAAAGAGTAGTCTCCACGGTGCAAGTAGCAATTGCCAAAACATACTAGCTAGCCATAGACATGTAGTGTTGAATTTCCTTGATTGTGGACTTTCCAACTGCCATAATGAACTAGAAATTATTCACCAAGGTTTATCACACTATGCATAAATAATATCAAACACATCAATTATATCATAAAGAACTGTTTACATCATAGGCTATGTACCTTCACTGCATCCACAAATTGCTCTTTCCATAGTTGAAATACATGAGGGTCCTTCACTTCTTCACTTCCAGGTACCTTTTCATACACTGGACCAGCATTGAATTTGGAGATCAGGTTAATTCTGATTTATATAATTATAAGATGCCAGAGATTTGTAAAATTTCTCTTGCTACACTTACAGAGCATGACAATCACTATATCATGTATTAACTCTCATATGTAACTCTTAATTAATAATTTGAAATTTATTGTAGCAATCTACTACCTCATCAATCTGCTTGTCTATGCCTGTCTGTGTAACCTTAAATGATTCCCAATTGCCAAGAATTATTCAACTTAAAAGCTTGAACTAATAGGTGAGGGCCCAGGATTGCACTTTATTTACAAAGCTCCTCACATTGATCCATCTTTGGTTGAAAAAGTGAAAAGATCAGAGATCAACCACATTTTCTGTTGAAATCCAGTTAACAAAATAGGCACATCCAGGATTTGACAATTTGTAAAATTGGCTTGCATGGAATATCAAGAGCCACCCTACAGAAGAACTTACGCAAATAGAAAATATCCAGGAATTTGATTTATTTGCAAATCAAACATAGCTAGCTGTTCTTCATGCCACTTTGTTTTCCTACACTTCTAGACTACACATGAAGAAAAATAATCAATTGAGACTTCCTCCCAGGACCTATGATTCTAAGTCCTATTACTAATGTCACTGAATTAGAATGAGAAAAATATAACCACCTAGAGCACAGTTACAGTAATCTAGTAAAAGAGGTTTACAGTTGAAATGTAATAAGCAATAAATTAAAGAAAGCCAAATTAAGCAATGGAATCAAATCATGGCATACAATTGGTACCTATTCCATCCACTGAAGGAGCGGGGAAACTATAAAAAATATTCTGATTTGCATCTTCATTAATGGCAACTGTCTCAGAGTGCTCATCATATTCATTTACAAGAGGTTTAACAACCTCTTCTGGAACCCATTCTTCTGGCCTCTCACTTCTTTTTCTTCAGAAACACAACAGGCAACAGAAGCATAATATTAAGCACCAAATCTCAGTTGGTTAATTGAAAAGAAAAAAAAAAAAAAAGGAGACATACAAAGGGAGTGATAAGTACGGCCAACGCTTGTCTTGAGCATAAGCATGTATCAGAAGAAATCCAAACTGCAGCACTGTCAATAAGGCCTCCCAAAGTGTAACCACATTTGGTGTCCACACCTGAAACATAATAGAAGTATTCATTACCAAGTTCCTAATACAAGCCCGCATAATCATTAGAGCAAAGTAATGAGAATGCACTTCACAATAAGATTGATGCAAAGGGCACCAAAAAATAAAAATAACTCCTGCAAATGGGAGATTACATTTGACCCTCAGTTTAGAGTGAAAGAATTGGGGGGAAAAAGAAAAAAAAATTTGTCATCATAGCTGGATGTAAACATTTTTCTGCAACTGAAAAAGTGTTGTCAAAATAGAAATTTATGAAGGTTCACAGGTGATATTACTTGAATTACCTCCAAAATTATGTACAGCCAAACATAGGCCCAGAAGGACCAAAAAAGCTCCACTAGCCATACACCTATATCAGATATCTTTTTCAACTCTCCATTTTTTGGGACTACAACACAGACGGCATGGATGGGAAAAAGGTCGAATGCAGCAGAACCCACTAAGGTACCAGGTCCCAGACCTACATGTCAAATGTTGATTAAAGGTAAATGATATATGACATCTAAATAAATCTATGTGATATGAAAGCAAAACGGACAAGACCATTGATCCAGCAGAGAGAAACAGGCTCCAAAGGTTAGCCCTGTTACTCATAAATAGGACATATATGCTCAAGAAAACAAAATGTAAATGTGTATGAGATTATTTTAAAGTTAAATGAGGTGCAGTGAGAGAGTAGAAGGTAATAGAGAAAATGTAAATGAGTGGAAGTTTAGTAGGTAGGAAAAGGAAACATGTTGCAGAAAGTAATAAAACAAGACCAGAAGATTGACCAAATAGAACAACAAATCATCTCTAATATTGTGCTTTAAATTCCAAAACATGCAGACAGAGCACCAAGGTCATCAAGATAAGGTTTCAATGTTAGAATCTATGCAGATGCAAGAAAATGGAATATAGTAAACAAACCTCCAGCATAGAGGTTTCCAATGTTTTGAATGGCATCAATAGCAGCTAATGATATTTGAGGGAAGCTAGTCCCAAAGGCCAGGAGAGTAATGTCTGCAATAGTGTAATTCCAAACCTTCTCGTATCTAATAATTTGAGCTTTTGTCTGAGGATCCATATGCGCCACCTTCCGTGTGTGCTTCACAACATTCTCCATTGAACGAAAGAAACGGGCGGTTATAGCTGACAGCCCAATGAAACAGTAAGCAAGACCAAGAAAATATAAGGCAGCACGGAATCCATCGCCAAGAATGACTTCTTCGCTAAAAAGCAAGTAACTTTCACATTTTTCATGCCGCGGGACATTGGAAAGTCTCTCAAATATTTTCTTGTGCACCAATGTCATTTTAATCAGACTCACTTTGCTTTTCAAGAATCAGGTATTCTGGCTCACCATTCCAATAACCTGATAAACAAAAGTCAAAATTGAATTGAGCTAGGAGGGCAGGGTGAAAGAATTGCTACAATGCAAAAGGTTAAAATTCATATTGAAAATTCCAAAAATAGAAATTTTGAAACCTTTTTTTTTTTTTTGAAGTGAATGAATTTTGGAAAATCTTACCGGATTCGTAAAGATACACTAATGTCATTCAAAATCTGTCATTACAAAATTTATCAACTTATTCTTACTGAAAAATTCACTGTAGCTTCTCTGCATACTGATATGAATCTTAATTCCAAAAATGCTGAAGAACCAAAATCTAGAGCTCAAAAGTGAAAACAAATACTCCATAAACCCAACTGAATTAAAGAATGAAATCCAAATCCAACCTTAACCACAAATTCAGAACAGAATTTACGGAAGTTAGAAAAGTAGAAGAGAAGTAGACAAAACTCAAAGAGTCATACAGAGGCGATTTGTTTCCACAACTCTCGATCTAAAGAAAGCTCAAGAAAGAGAAAGACCAAAGTAATAGAAGAAGAATAAATCCAGAAATCAACGAGCTTCACGGAGAAGGAGCTCACCGGGAAAAGGCTGCGTAGGATTTCCGGAGTCCGGCCACAGGCAACGCTGCGTCCAACTCGGAAGACAGAAGCGTATGTAAAATGAAGGTGCATCAATGTTGGTACTTCTCTCAGGAGAAAAACCTTCAACACGAAATTCAGAAATGCAGCATTTACTGAATTCTGCTACTTGTCCAGAAAGGAAAGCTGAGATTCGTCGGAGCCCCGCCGCTGCCCCCGATTAGAAAATCATCGGGGAAGTGCGTTGCTGGATTTAGCGGAACTAAGCCAGAAAGTGATCCTCTGATTCCATTTTTCCTGTTTCATTTCATTTATGGCAACGCCCTTACGGTTGATTTTCATTTTTTTCCTCTTTAAAGAAATCGTACGAATAAGATATAAACTTTTACAAACTTTTTTTATTTGTTAATTAAGGATGAAAACTTTCATAAATTACTAATTAAGGATGTGTATTTTGCATTTCTACTACAAAAGGATGAATTAGATGTTGCCGCCAATCACCTGTGTGCCTCAAGTGATCATACTTCTCTTAAAGAAATAAAATGATAGCATCCATGATGACATAAAGTTTGAATCCCAAGTTTGACACTCATCCATCCCCAAAAAAAAAAAATAAAAAAAATAAAGGAAGTAACAACTTCAAAAAAAAAATGTTGCCATGGTACTGGGAGTATGTTTGCATCCTTGATTAATAACTTATGAAAGTTTTTATCTCATGTTATTATGACATGCTAAGATTTAAAAAAAATAAATATAAGTTTAGATTTTGTTATTTAATCCAAAGGTATTATACCTATAAAACGCTTTTATACTATGGTTGCTAGTTAGGATGAGATTAAATATAAAATCTTTTCTTGGATTTGGAGGAATGATTTTAGTCATGAAATGTAGCATGTGCTTATTTGAAATTGAGGGTGTTCATTATTTCTTCTTTTGGTGTCCATTCATATATATTTAGAAAAAGTGATAAGCAAAGTATTGATATTACCTAGTTCAAATATGAAGACAGTTTGATTGGGCGTGGGTATTAAGCAAATGCAAAGGTAGAAACATGAGGTGAGAAGCTTAGAATTGTTTTTTCTATACTTATTTACACCCTCTTAAAATGGAAGTAGGAATGTTGATTCTTTTGTTCAAATCATAATGTATTAATTTTTGTAATGGTTAACAATATGATCTATCAAAGTGCGTAATGTACATACCCATTTTGGGAATTTATTGGAATGGAAACTTGTCAATTTCCTAGAAAGTTTACATCCTTGTTTAGTAAATAAAAAAGTTTGAGTCCTTAACTAATAAAAGAATTAAAATTGTTGACCTTATTGGTACAATTTCTCTTTAATTTTCTCGCATGGAACTAATGAAGGCCACGAATGCATCAACGCACACATGATTTTGTCCCTTAATTAGTCTTTGTCTCTCTTTTGTTTTCACTTATTTTTTTTTAAAATTTTTTGAAACAGGGAAATTACTGCATTATTTATTTATTTGCTTTATAGAGAGGGAAATGGATTTGCCTCAGTTTGAAACGTGAACCTCAGCCCACTTTTTTTTGGGTAAATAATCTCAATCTACCTCGCATCTTAGAATGCGTTTTTATCATTCTTTATTAGCTAAAAAAAAGAGTTACAATTTTTTTTTTTTTTTACACCATTTGAGGGTTCCTTGTTCCCATATCAGAAATTTTTAGTTAAGGGAGTAAATTTCGTCAAATTTTTATTAATAATAAGTCTAATTAATTTAAATTAATAAAGTAATCCATAATCCCATTGGCG